ATGCCAGAATTCAATTTGTTTAAATCCCAGTTAGTTTGTATGTATCTGGATTATGCACTCTTTGTTCCAATATACTTTTGTTTCAAATCATTCTCAAAGGTATTTGATGAAGCGTATGTTAACCATTACCAATTAGTTTCCAGAACTTATTTCAATCTCGGTTCGAAGAATGCATGGATGAAGTGTTAGTACGGAAGGCTTAATGATGTGCTTTACAGAGTGGACATATTCCCTAAGGCGCACATTCGGTTCTTAATATCAGTAACTATAGATGGCGTTTATGTGTCCGCCAGATTGTTGAAAATTTGATGGTAATTTTGTACGAGTATAAAAGAAATATCACACTGTAGAATCAGTCATTAAATTCTGAGGTAATTATTGTTATAGTTTAAGTTTTAATGTTAACCAACATCCCTTGGCGCCAAATTATAATTTTCATCGTTATTTTATGGCCTCTTCCGGTTTTATGTCTAGTATCTCATGTCAAGAAATCGTTAAACACTATTTATTGATGCGCTAAAATTGTTAACGTGGAATATGAAAATTTGAAACAGCTAATCGTTAAAAATGCTCCTACGATATATTATGCAACACAAACGATACTACTTGTAGCATTGTTCGGGCTTTGAAGTTTTAAAGAATAGATATCTGTTATCATAGACATTTCGCTTTAGGGAATTCATATACAATTAAAGTTACAAATCTATTTAGGTCCCCTAATTGTCGGCAGCTTAATAGATACCGGCATGTCAAAGGAATCTGATTAAAATACAGATCTATATTGCGTTTCGTTTTTTTTATACTTTTGATGGCCTACACTACATGAATATCTGACTGGTTGTACGAGCGACTTTTGACCCTATGACGTCAGACATTGATTAATCAATCAGCGTTGACCCACAGTTCCGTGCATCGCTCGCCAAGAACTCGCCGTAACATACCGTTTCATTGGCTAATCCCTTACTTCAAACATAACGCCGGTAATAGAACAACTCTTCAAAACGCTAGTGTAGTCAAGACAAGTAAAGCGAAATTTTGAACCATAAAAACGAAACGAAATAGTATCTGTATTTTAATTAGACTGATGTCAAAGATTCCAAATACATACAGTTTCCCGAAGTACAGTTCCCAGAACCGTTTCCTGTAAAAGGGCAATATTATTCGTGTCTAATAATTGATTATGTTATAGAATGGTTAAAAATATTTCAAGTAAAATTTTAATCTTTGCCATGGTTGATCCGTAACAACGATTTGACAAGTCTGGAAGTAGTGACGCAGAAAGGAAATCACGTAACAAAGCCCAGGCGGACCACACCGCGCACGAAAAAAAACATAAGAAAGCTCTGCGGACGAGACACACAAACTAGACATTCCGCACACAGGGATCTGTCTACTTCATACTTTGAGAATACATCTCTGCTCTGAATGGCCGCCATATCCAAAAATTAGTATATTGTTTTGTAATGCGGTCCTACTCCGGTCCACACCTGGCATACACACAAAAACTCAATAAATCTATTCAATTCCATTAAATAGAAGCAGAATAAATATTTCTCAAAATTATTGAGTAGACTTAGTGTTTTCGACTAAAATCGTCGATTAGGATTTAAAATGTCGGTCAACTATCTTAGTGTCTGTGCTCAAGCGGAGATAATATTGTAGACAGGCAATCCAAGTTTAGTATGGCAAACTAGACAGATATCTGAAGCAATAAACAACAAACATATACTATATAAATTCAAGTGAATGGTCCGGTGGCAGTCGTGCTATGTATTCTCTGGTCTTGTTGTTGTTGTTAGTGTTTAACGTCCGCTTCCACCGAAGGTGATATCGCAGACAAGTTGTCTTTTTTTTTTTTTATTTTCATGATCTTAGCGCACGCGCAGGGGTCTTTCGTGTGGGAGGAAACCGGAGTACCCGGAGTAAACCCACGAGGTTGAGAAGGCGCCCCTATCTCCATGCCACATACGCTCACACCAGGGATCGAAACCACAGCCGCAAGCCAGAGGTGACCGGCCAGCTAGAGGTCGAAGCGTGACACTCTAGACCACCAGGCCATCCCAACCCCCCTGATGTAAACTTACCGGGAAAAGATGAGCTTCTGATAATACGCTTCAGCCCCAGTTGTATTGAGAGACTCGGGGGACGAGGCTAAACACATTGCACCAAATCAAATGGAGTTATGTAGACTAGAATAACTAGACGCTAGAAATTTGCACTCGATTGAGATTACTGACTTATTTCGCCGAACATAACTGATTTGAAATTGAATTAAAAACGGAAACCATTAAATGTAAATCAGTTTATATACATTCATATTACAGTATTATATGCGTTGCGATCCACTTTTGTGAATCTCTAGGTCCCAAATGTTAGCGATTTAGCTCCTTTAAACAGACAAGAACTCATCAATGAATACAAGAACGACACAATAGAAATGATGCAACAAGTATTCTTGTCCGTTATAGTTTTGCTGAATGGGGTCCTTGATGATAGATCGTCATTTTTGTTTGGCATAATACGGCCGTAAAACGCTAAAAGGTTCGAAATTAACATTTTAGGAACGAATAAGAGTAAAACGGAGCAGAGCCCAGTAAGAAAAGCACTCTTTATTTGCCTACGGTAGCAGCTACACAGGCGATTATCAGATCACTGACGATATTCAATTCATTGATGAAGAGTTGTAATTATACGTTTGAGGTTTCGTAAAAAAGAAAAATTGACTTATTCTTCCGTTGTAAATCAATGGCACCGAATATTGATAACGTAGTCTTCTTAAAAACAAAATGAGAAATAAATGAGTTTAAACGGCTAGGGACTTATACTCAAGTAATAAGCACGATATCTTGTCACTTCCTCATGTGTACTAATTCTGATTACTTCTGAAAATGGTTGTTTCACTATTCGTTCAAAGCGACGACTTATTCCCCAAGGTGAACCGAATGAACCGATCATCAAGTTGTTTTTGACATGAGAATACAAAAAGCAACATATATACTAGCCTTGTGTAGTAAACTAAAAACCAAATCATGGATTTGATTTAAGACCACACTTAATGAAAAGTCACATCCTTATCGAACGCGACCACTTTTGGGCATTTAAGCTATGGTTATTTAAATTTGAAATATTATGTTTCTTTTTATTTTACACTTAGACTAATGCAGTAGCAATAAAATTGTTCATTTTCGTAAACACGAGCGTCTTTGATGGTTTTATAATGCATATCTCTCATTGTATATTAATGTTTTCACTGCTCCATATATATCCAAAATTATTAGCACAACCGCAAAGCTGCACTACTTTGTTTCACGGTAAATGATGAAAAGACAAACGGTATGCCGACACAAACTGATTTCAACACGGGTATAATAACATTTTAAAGTACGTTTCGTCCGTCTTGGGACTATTCATAAATAATGTCATTGTATAAAGATGGACAGTATAGTATATTTATACATATTAACATAGTAACACTGTGGTTTTAATTGGCTATAGTTACCATTGTCTGTAGTTACATAGTATATCGTTAACTAATAGAAAACATGGTTCAATTTATGAACATTGAGTGGAAGATAATCATGGGATAATATATATATATATATATATATATAAATCTTCATCGTACTATTTCTCTCATTGTACCTGGCTCGCTAGCCAGGAGGTCGGGTGTTCGATCCCTGCATTGGCCGAGAAAGTTCATCCAGATTTTCCGGCGTGGTTCCCCCTTGTCAGTGATGCAGGACGGAGGGTCTGACAAGGACAGCTGTCTAGTCCTTCGGATGAGACGAAAAACCGAGGTCCCGTGTATACATCGGAATACACGTAAAAGATCCCTTGGTAGTTGGAATTCGATATAAGAGTAGGCGATAGTGCCGCTGCCCGGGCAAAATTTCCCTCATAGCACACTGTATGGCGTATGCCCGTCTTCATTAGCCCAGGTTAGGAGCTGAACAGTAGGACGTTAAACCCCATTTCATTTCATTTTCATATCTCTCATTGTACATTAATGTTTTCACTGCTCCATATTTTGTATATATATATATCTTAATTATACTATGGTTGCCATTCTTTGCTTGATAACGTTGAGAAATCTATCGTCGAAATGCCGCCAGAAATAAATCTTTCAAGTAGCTTCTATTCCATATAATTGTGTCATGTGTCATTTTTCATAATGCTTTGTTCAATCCAGGTGCGCAGAATTACATAATAACATTAACTAACTAATTTTTATTTACAGTAAATAATTCTTTCTTTTACTTTTGGCGTATATATCAAGGAACAGGTCTGTTTGTCCGTTAATAACAGAAGATCGCATTTGACCAGGATTTTACAGATTCGGTCCGGTAGTAAAAGGGGGCTCATTTCCCAGTATAATCTGAAACATGAAAAATCCACATTTGAACCCTTTGAAGGGTGTTGTGAGTGACGAGTGCTCCCCCACTCACCTCCCGGAAACCTCGCGAGACATTACTTGACACACCGTATCCACCTCCAAAAGTGATATTCGCTAAACGGAGTTTTAGAAGATTAAAAAATTGGAGTAGACACACGCAATGCCTTTTACAATCTTAGACACACCAAGTTTGTACGCATCCAACTTCAGATAGAAATTATTACAGTCTGTAAGCAGCTGCTCACTTTGTAACATGAACAGAGCTGTGCTTCATCAAAACAATCAAAAGAGTTAAATCATTACTATTTTAGACAAACATATTAAACACACAACCCCCTCCACCCCCGCTTCGTAGCTTGTATCAAGCTGCTCGCTGTGTAATACATAGGTTATAAACAGATCTGTTATTTTATCAAATACATCAATAAAGTTAACACATATTGAACATCCCCACCCCCGCTTCATAGCCTGTAACCAGGTGTTCACTTTGTAATGTATGGGCAATCAACATAGCTGTTTTTATCAAATAAATAATAAAGTTCTTTACTTTGATCAAATTTATCATCATGACCTAGATTCCTAGAAATGTTTATTTTTCTATTTCCAGGTATGTTGGAATAATCCATCCAATCAAAGCCTACATCCTGTGCAACCGGAAGAGGATAACAATAGCTATTGGTTTAGTATGGCCTTTATCCTGTTTACTCGGAACACCAACGTTAGCCTTTAATGAAATCCAACCTGGACGACCTAAAGTGACGTCACTGAACTTTTGCGTGTTGTCGTTTCCGTCCTACCATGAGACATATTATCTGGTTTTTAAATTTAGTGAATTTGTGGTTTTTTATTTGGGGCCTTTGGTTGTACAAGTTATACTGTACACCATTGTATCGAAGCATTTGTTTAACCGTTCCGAGGAACTACATAGAAGATTGCACGTGCTAGATGACAAAGGATCCGCGAAGGAAATTTCATCGGAGGCGGTACAGGCCCGTCGTGGTGTTGTCAAGATGCTTATTTTAAGTGTTATTGTTTATTTCGTCAGTTATTCCCCTCATCAAATCCTGTTATTCTATCACGCATTTCGACCTCGGGCGTTTCAAGATCATTGGAGCATCCAGGTGTTAGTGATGATAGTAGCGTATATCAACTCGGCCGTCAATCCCCTGTTTTACAGTGTCTTCAGTCAGAACTTCAGAAGAGGTTTTAAAGGTGTTTTATGTTCCCGTAGCCATTGTAATACGTCATCACGATTACCACCCAATCATGCCCAATGTAAATTTGGTAAAATGACGAGTGTTAACACGACGGAATTTTAGTTCAGATTTAATTGACTTCAAAAAGGAGCGTGGTGACCGCTGATTTTTCACGTGGAACAAGATCCCATCAGGGCATTATACACATCCAATATGCATAAAGGATGATCCGTGGGTTCTTTGTGTGAAATTATGTGCTCTGTGGGACATGCTAGACAATAATTGAGCAGGAAACTAATAATAATTATGAACACTCATCTGTTTATACAGGAGAACGCTAGATCGAAGACGGTCTAGCACAAATGACGTCATATGTGGATTGTGGTTTAGCGTTAGAATAATGCTTAGGCCTGCGTCTAGGGGTGGGGTTATGTTTGGCGCTAGCCCTGTTTATTTATATCCCGAGATCTTGGCGAAATCTGCAGCCCTAACCCTTCCTAGCCCATACTTCACATATGACGTCAGATGTTCTAGACCGTCTCCAATCTTGCGTTCTCCGATCATACAACAGGAGGCTGGGTAGCCGAAAGGTTAACGCGTGTGCCGTGTTTCATAAGGTATTTTATTGAGTCAAGCGTTGTGGGTTTGATTCCCCGCTTGTACATGACAAGGAGTAGGGTTGCCTGTTCAACCTCGCGGATTTTCTCTGGGTCCTGCGGTTTCCTCCCACTGCTAAAGACCCCTACGCGCAAGCGAGTTATTGAAATAAAATTAAACCATGAGTTAATCCCGAAATGACCTAATTTGTTTATCTGTATTGGGTCTATCCTCAACTCAACTACAAGGTAACAATCGAGTCATAACAATCGTTTTAACGTCGTAAATTAACTCCGTTGTTGGGTATATTTTTGTTAGATTTGTTTCCAACTTTCCAATCAATTCTACTATTTACGTGTCATTTATTATCTGCTTTGTAACATTTGAACGCATGGCGTAACTTCGTAGAGTATTGCAGCTAATGTGTATTAATCTTGTTAGATTTGTTGACAACCAGTTCTTGTTTTATTTCTTTTGTCAACATTGAACACATAGAGTGATATATTGTAACAATTGTCAAGCAGATAAGCCAGTTTTAACTTCGTAACTAAACTTATCTAATGAGTGTAGTTTGCTTTACTATAAATCTTCATAGCCTTTGTTTTAGAGTAAAACCAGAATGTGAAAGTACACAAACGGCTTATTTTTTAAATCCAATAACCAATAATCCCGTTTGAGCCTATTAGCCAATTTTTGTCTTATCAGACATTAAAGTTGACAATTTATTATTTTTAATATTACTGGAGAAAAACTTGAATAACTAACAAACATATTTTATCTTTTTGTACTGGAGAGATACAAGACGAATGTATACATAACACAAATAAAGACGAAGTTTTTCCTTTAAGATACATTATATAAGAACAAATAAATCACAGCTTTTCCTTTAAGATACATTATATAAGAACGCAATCCACCCATTGAAGATCTTTTCCTTGCCTGCAAATGGTATATACATTTTTGATTTAGATATTTATTTACACACAAAGCCTATAACCAACTCTCTAGACGTTTTAAATGGATTAGAACACGGGTAACATTTAAACATTTAACGATAAAATGTGTAATAAAGACATTGATTGATAAGTACCGTTGCTATGACAATAAACAACTTGCTACATCTTGTCAAAACTTCAAACACTTATAACTTCCCTCAGAATAAAGTAATTGGAAAGAAATGTTGAATATACTCATTTCCTATTAATATATTAGAACTCTAATCGGGGGCACCTTAAGACATTTGTTCTCACGTAGTGCGAGGACCCGTTTTAGATTGGCGGCCTTTATTAACGTCGTCTTTGTTGAATTGGCAAGACTGTGACACGCCTAATTTGTGTAGGGGGGGGGGAGGGGGGGATAAAGCATCTTTAAAGGGTCATTATGAGAGATTAGATAAAGATCTGGAAGTTCTCACTATAATAGTTAAAAACGAGATCATATAAATGGAATATGCTGAGACTTTCAGTCCAATTGCTCCACCCCGAACCGGTATATCAGCGAGTGAATTTTAGGCATAACCTCGATCATCATTACTAATGTCGGTACGATAAAAACATGGTCTCAGAGTTATCCACTTTTGGATCGAATCATTAATGAGCGTTGAGTAGAAGATCGGATTCAAATCCAGTGAAAATCGGACACAGTAAAAGGGACCGAGAGTTGATTAATGTCTTGTCATGTTAAAGATGGGTTCCCGCGTACAAACTGGGTGATTTAATGGTATATATGGACCAAAAACATATTCAAACTAATTAATTTGTCATAATTATGCTTCAAATCCTTCTCAAACATTGTAATTGCGAAGGAATGCCCTGCTATTAAAATTCGATCAAACCAGGTCATGTTTACGTCACACCTTGGGAGTCAGAGGAGAATTCATTGCATACATAAGACGATGTTGTCTTTAATCGCTTACTATTTATTACAAATATCGAATCCTAATTAAATTCTCGAATTATCCACTACCTGCGCCTTTTCCCGTCATTTTTATCTCAGAAAGTATTGTACGTCTAACTCTTCATAAAGTTTATCAACTTGTACATCAAGCGCTCAATGTTCACTTGTGACCTTTAAAATCACGCGTGCAGAAGTTCCTAATCATCGGGCTGTTGATTAGGGGAACCCTTACATTTTTGTCCTGTATACGCTCCATGAGTGTTTTCGGGGAATCCAGTATTTTTCTAGTAAGATTGGATATCTCTACTTTCCATATATACCAAAATTGCCATACTTTTATTGGAAATAATCACCCGATAAATACTTTTCTGGGAACCCATCTTTAATACATGTCTAATTAATAGTTTATATAACATTTCAAGCCTAAAGAAAGACCTGCAATAGGCAGATTTAGCTCTTGCGTAATGTATGTTTAATATTTAACAGCTTACATATGTGTGCGTGTTGTTATTCCCTGGGGTTCTAATGGTGAAGCCATTTAGTTAAAATCACAGGTTAAACAAGCTAAAAAAAAAAACAATAAAAAGAACAAATGGACTGACACACTAGGTTTTATTCTTTGGTACTGAAGACAAATTAGAAAAATGTATAACCAAAAAAAAAGTAAAAACGAGTTTCCTTTTACAGTTAAAAGCATAAAAAAGTACGTACGCGTGTTATTATTCTCTAGGGTTCTTATAGTGAAGCCATTTAGTTAAAATCACACGTCAAAAAAGCTACAAGATTATTTTCAGTAAGTCTTTTAAAACCATTAAAATGATTGTACAGCATACTGATTTTGATGTTTGGTGTTATAGCCATGGTTATGTAAATATATATATTTTATCATTGTTGTAATGTTTAGTGTTAATAAAGAGACAAAATCCATTATAGCCGTTGTTTTTAAAAGTGGACAAGGTACTATTTTTGTTCGATGGTGTAAACAGGGGTTTTAGTTCGTGGCACCAAGATTAAAGCTTCTTGAGTGGCACCAATTTCCTATAAACCGGGAAAATTATCAAAAAAAAAAAAAAAAAAAAAATCAACTAGTCCTTGGCATGTAATGGATGATATTCCACAAAAGGCGATATTACCATTGGCAATATGTGATTAAAAACGAGGTTTTCACGAGCGGATGAACATGAAATAAAGATGGGGGCACTTTGCTCATACCATTATCATTAGACATTTGTTCTCACGTAGTGTGAGGCCACTTTTTAAATTGGTGGCCTTTATTAATGTCGTCTTTGTTGAATTGGTAAGAATGTGACACGCCTAATTTGTGTAGGGGAGATGGACGAATGGCTAGCACGTGCGCGCTGTATCACAAGGTGTGGTATCGATATCCCGGTTGTACGTGACAAGGAGTTTGGTCGCCTGTCCGGTTTTCTCCCACTGATGAAAACGCCTCTCAAGTGTCCAGACTCCGGGGGACCCGACACCAAACCTACCCCTAAATATAACGACGTGTGATGGAAATATACGTGCCTGAAAATTAGGAACTCAAAGGCGAGTGACGTAATCTTCCTATGTTAGTCTCTGCTACATAGTTTGTGATTTCTGGAAATGCACGACACCCCATTCTTGTGACCTAATATCCAAGCCTTAACCTTGTTCCTTTGGCCCTTGTAGCAGAACTTCTAGTTCTACTCTCAGTCCCAACCCGGAAGAAATGAAATGAAATGGGGTTTAACGACCTACTGTTCTGCCCCGACTGGGCTAATGAAGACGGACATACACCATAGTGTGCTATGAGGGGGGGATTTTGCCGTGGCAGCAGCACAATGGCCTACTTTTCTATCGAACTGCAACTGCCAAGGGATTTTTTACGTTCATGCCAATGTATACACGGGACCTCGGTTTTCGTCCCATCCGAACGACTAGACAGCTGTCCTTGTCGGGCCATCCGTCCTGCACAACTGACAAGGGGAACCCACGTCGGAAAATTCCCATGAACTTTCTCGGCCAATGCAGGAATCGAACATACGCCCCCAGGCTAGCGAGCAAGCGCCTTACCAACTCAGCCACCGTGCCCCGCCCCACCGCCCAACCCGGAACAACATTCCTGGTGGACATTCCACCGGTAGTCTACATACTGAATTTATATAGTATATGTTTGTTGTATATTGCTTGCAATCTCTACCTAGTTTGTCATACTACAATATTAGTTCCGCTTGAGAACAGACACTTAGAGAAGTTTAAGAAGTATTTATTCTGCTTCTATTGAATAGAATTCAATAGGTTTCTTTAGTATTTGTGTGTGTGCCAGATGTGAAACGGATTAGAATCCGATTACAACAAAATATACTGTAAATGTTTGGATATGACGGCCACTCAAAGTATGAAGTAGATGGATCTATGTGTGCAGAATGACGTAGTCTAGTGTACAGAGTGTATAAACAAAAGACATGTCACCCTGTTCGACCGCCATGTTGTTTCCTGTTATTCTAATCGTTAAAGGTAATATCTGAAAGGGTGCGACTAAAGAGGTAATATGAAGCCGCCATGTCGTTTTTTTTCTGTCAAAGATTACTACAAAGAACTTGAGGATGTGTCTCCGAGCCATATTTACATGTTTTCCTTTTTGATATTTATGCTGATATTGAAGCCATTAAAAGCACCAGCATGGTAATATTCAGACAAGAATGCCATTAAAATTGCTTAACAAAAAAAAAAAAAAAAAAAAAAAAAATAACAACGGAAATATAAAAAAATAACAAAGAAGACTTAAAAAAAGTGTCGCCTATCTTGAAACATCCACTTTTATGAAATCATATATCTTTAATGGTGCAATATTTGTGTTCAGTCATCGGGTTTAGCGCTGAGTTCTAGTAAATTATGCTTTCAATTAATATAGCACAAGGTACTCTTCCCGGGCGTCTAATGAACGGGTTTCTTTAATTCATGGGAACGTTAGCATGAATAGATTCAATAATTAAAGAAATCAAAAATACACGTACCATATCATAGCCAAGTATTCCAAATAGTATCGCTTTAAGTTTCATCAAAACCGGATACAAATTGTGACCTTGAGTGTCTACAAGCTATAAAACATGAATTTTCGTACAATCAGGGACTAAACTATAATCCATGAAGTTACGATTCGAAACATTCCAATATCGAAAGTATCTGAGATATTTGGCATATAAAGCTTATTTCAAGTTTCGTCAAAATCAGATAAAAAAAAAAAATTGTGACAAATTGTGGACGGAAATGAGATGAAATGAAATGGGGTTTAACGTCCTACTGTTCTGCTCCTAACCTGGGCTAATGAAGACGAGCATACGCCATGCAGTGTGCTATGAGGGAAATTTTGCCCGGACAGCGGCACTACGGCCTACTCTTATATCGAATTCCAACTGCCAAGGGATCTTTTACGTGCAGGTCAATGTGTACACGGGACCTCGGTTTTTCGTCCCATCCGAACGACTAGACAGCTTTCCTTGTCAGCCCCTTGTCAACCACGCCGGAAAATCTGGATGAACTTTCTCGGCCAATGCAGGGATCGAACACCCGACCTCCAGGCTAGCGAGCTAGCGTCTTACCCACTTAGCCACAATTGTGGACGGATTAACGTGCGTTCCGGGTGGACAGGGGCGACTACAATATACGTCCACATGAAAATGTGAGCGTTTGCATGAGGCGCCATCAAGCTAAAAAAATGTCAATCAAATGTGTTATTTTGTCTATTAATTTTTTTAACGTCAGCTTTCACCAAGGTGATATCGCAGGCACAT